TGTCCCTGCCAGGAGCGGGCCTCCGGTATCCACGGCTGCCAGGAGGGGGCGTCCCGGAAGCTGGCCTCTCCAAACTTCTCCCGTAGAACATCCAGCGTGGACGCCCCCAGCCCTGTGGAATAGCTCACATCACATTCTTCCTCCTCTGTCCACCTCCTTTCTCGCCATCCCTGAAACGACGCGCCGCCCAGATCCGGGGGGGAGGACACCCACTGTCCAAGCGAGTCCCCCTCCCCACGGGACGGACGCTCGTCTGTATGGGGGCTAACAACCCCCGCCGGAGGCGTGGCCTCCTTCGGACGCACGACCGTCAGGTCCAGTTCCTCTGGCTCCGATAAGCCCTCTGCTTCCGCGTCCAACTCCTCCTCGGTCGCCGGGGCCTCAGCTGCTGCGCCCTCCGCCATGCCGCTGCCACCGCCGAAAGCGAGGGGGGAAACGCCGACTTTCTGTCAACTATGTGTTGCGTCTCCGTGTGGCAAGGAGAAAAGAGCACACGAAACCACGGCTTGCTGCAACTGGTTTATTCCTCACGCTCCTTCACACACTGCACGGCACAGCTGACGGTATCAGGAATACACAAAGTCGGCGTTGGGAGCGGCTGCCTCCCAACGCTTTTTAAACAGCGCGCCCTTAAACCACCGCCCCTCCGGTTGTACCGCGCATGTGCCGCCGGACTGTCATCCCATTCAAGCAAAAAGGCAATTAACGATCCCTCTCCCCGGCCGGCTACCACCGTGTCCGACCGCCTACACCAAGCACCCCCCACCACCGTGTAGTAGAGTCTCCGTCGCCCCCGTCGCTACCCCCATGGTCATTGTTTTCCGTAGCAGTTGAGCTGGATCCTCGAGCAAGCAGTGAGGTGAGGTGGGGTGTCGGGTGGATCGCGACACTATGCACCTTTCGCCGTGCTTTCAAGACTTTCCTATTTCAACAGGCCGGCCTGGCCTAACGTCTTCTTTTCCCTTTTTAATTCAAATGATGAATTTTAAATTTGTCTTAAAAACATTAGGGCTATTTAAATTGTCACGGGCCAAATTATTTAATCAGATTTTATACTGTTTTTAAATTTTGTAATTTATGTGTTTTATCTTGCTGTTCACCGCCCTGAGTCCTGCGGGAGTAGGGCGGTATATAAATCTAATAAAAATAAAAATAAATAAATATGAGCCAATTGCCAAGCAACTGGATTTTGATCTCGTGACAGCAACGGTCGTAAGTGTGCAAAAACGGTCAAAAGTCACTTTTTTTTAGTACTGTTGTAACAGTCACTAAATGAATGGTTGTAAGTCAAGGACTACCTGTATACACAATACCCCTCTCCCTCCCTTTCTCTCCATCACCAGAAAGGTGTATTATGTAGTGCTGAATTGGTGTAGGGAGATTCAGGTTCTAGTTCCCCCACCCACCACAGAAGCTCTCTGAGCCAATCCCTCTCTCTCAATACAACCTACTTCACAGAGCTGTTGTGGGGAAAAATAGGAAGGAGGATATACGGGATATTAATGGCTTTAAGCTCCTGCATGAAAGATGGGATATAAATCAGAAGCAGGGTGGATTTGATTTAATCCAGTTGATTTAAATCACAATTTAAATCATGATTTAAATCACTAGTAAAAAGGCTTGATTTAAATCAATTCGATTTAAATCATAATTTTTAAAGAGCAACTGTCATCTCTGCTACTCCTTTGACCCACTGTTGACTCACCGATAGTCCCAGTGTTGCAGAATATACAGCCTCATGCTACATAACTAAGCGCCATTTCATGCTGAATAAACTTATTTATTTATTATTTATTTATTTATTTATTTATTTATTTATTTATTTATTTATTAATTAATTAATTAATTAATTAATTAATTATATTTCTATACGGCCTTTCTCCCGTAGGACTCAAGGCGGTGTACAGTCAAGAAAAATATAGATACACAAACATCATAAAATTGCTAATTAAAATTATTATTATAACATAGTTTGGCCCATTTATGTATCTTAAATAGAAAACTATCTTACAATAGATTTTTACCCCAAAAGTTTTTTATTAAAATAAATTCGATTTAAATAAAAAAAATCCGATTTAAATAAAAAAAATCCGATTTAAATTAAAAAAATCTGATTTTTTTGATTTTTTAAAAAAAATCATTGATTTTTATCCACCCTGATCAGAAGCAACTTGGAATTAAGGAGAAACTTCCTAACAGTGAGAACAATGAACCAGTGGAAGAGCTTGCCTTCAGAAGTTATGGGTTGCTTTATCACTGGAAGTTTTTGAGAAGAGACTGGACGGCCACTTCTCTGAAATGAATCAGAATCGGAATAGAGCGGGAAGGGACCTTGGAGGTCTTCTAGTCCAGCCCCCTGCTCAAACAATTTTCAAACATTTCAAACAAATAAAGTGTCCGGTGACTCACAACTTCTGAAGGCAAACTATTCCACTTGGTCGATTGCCCTCACTGTTTAGGAAGTTTCTCCTTCATTCCAGGTTGCTTCTCTCCTTGATTAGTTTCCATCCATTGTTTCTTGTCCTGCCTTCTGGTACTTCGGAAAATAAATAAGACCCCCTTCCTCTTTGTGGCAGCTTCTCAAATACTGGAATGCTATCATATCCCCTCTTGGTCCTTTTCTCTAGACAAGCGTGGAGGGGGGGGGGGGAAATCTGCTTCTGCTTGAGCAATGGGGTTGGACTAGAAGACCTCCAAAGGTCCCTTCCAACTCTATCCGGATCGGAAACAAACTGAATCTGGCCAACAAAGGATGGGTTAAAGCTCACCCAAACCATTGCCCTATTCTTAATAGCTCACCAAAGAGCTTTCAAAAACCCACCCTCCTTAATCAAGGGTTCCTTCGGTCCTTCCTTCCCGCCCAATTCGTGCCCCAAAGGAAAGCCCACTAGCAAGTTTTTTTTTGGGGGTGTGTGTGTGTGTGTGTGTGTGTGTGTGTCAGCCTCGATCTTTGCAACAGGATGGGGCAGCTTTAGTAAAAGAAAGCCAAAGCCCCTCCAAGTGGGGAGAGGGAGGAACGCGTGGGCTAAAAAAGGCACGAAAGCCCCCCCCCCGTTTGCAAGCGATCGCCCCCAACGCGCAATTGTTCCACACACACACACCCCGCGCTAATCGCCTCTTGCAATTTGCGCTCGGAGCACCTTCCACGCACCGGAGCTCAGCGATCCTCCGCTTTCCCCTTTCTTTCCCACGGCCGGTGCCCGACCCCCGGCACGGTGGGACAGGAAAGTGCAGCGATCCCGGGGCCGGCCGCCCCCCCCTCCCTCCTCCCCCGTTTGCTCCACGTTTCCTGTCTCTCTAAGCGACGGAGCTCGCTGGCCCCTTTAACCATTGCGGCGCCGTCGGGAAGATGCGCGGCAGAAGATCTGGGGGGCCTTTTCCCCTTGGCGCGAAATCTCCTGCCTCACGGAAGGCGGGGTGGGGGCGCGGGTGGAGAGTGGGGGGGGGGTCCGAAAGGTTCCTTCTGTGTTTGTGTGTGTGTGTATAATGTGTATGTGTGTAAAGGCAACAATGTGGCCCCCTCACCTCCCCACGGACGCATCTTTGGGTGCAGGGAGTCCTCGACTTTCCGGTCGCAAAATTGAGCCCCAAATTTCTGTTGTTAAGTGAGTTTGGCCCCATTTTACCAGCTTTCTTGGCCCAGCGCCTTAGGTGGATCACTGCAGTTGATACAAGGTAGCCCTCGACTTAACAACACTTCATTTAGCGACTGTTCAAAGTTAACAAGGCCTGGGGAAAAATGGAACTTGTGACTGACAAGCAAAGTCCCTGGGGAAGCCAGATTCACTTAACATTAAGTCACATTTGTCAGTGCCGTTGTAACTTTGAGCAGTCAGTGAATGAACTGTCGTAAGTGGGGGACTTACCTGTATTTTGAACTCACTGCCGGGGCCAAAAACTCTTCGAAGCCTTGGATACCCACTTAAATCGGTGTTTTTCCAACTTGGCAAACTTCTGAGATATCCGGATTTCAACTCAGGTTGAAGTTGGAATCCACGGATCTTAATGTTGGCAAGGGTGAGAAATACAGGTAGTCCTCCATGTATGATCACAGTGGAGCCCAGAATTGAGGTTGCCAAGTGAGACATTTGTTAAGTGAGTTTTGCCCCATTTTATGACTTTTTTTGGCCACAATTTGTTAAGCAAGTCGCTGCAATTAAATTACTGTATTTTCAGACTATGAGACACACCTAAATTTAGAAGAGGAAAACAACAAAAAAAGGTTTTGGCCTGCCTTTTTTTGGGCCTTTTACAGTCTTTTTGGCCTGTTTCTGGGACTTTTTTCAGCCCATTTTCGAGGCCTTTTTCGGCCTGTTTTGGGGGCTTTTTTTCACCCGTTTTCGAGGCTTTTTTTGGCCCATTTTTCTGAAAAAAACAGTAAGTCTTGTGATGGGAGGGTCATGTCAGGTGAGGGTTTAGTGATGGATCTTGCATCAACCTTCAACCAGCCCCCAACCCCCCCAACCAGCACTTCACTTCCCAATGACTTTCACTTGATGTGACCTCCCCATCACAAGACCCTCACCTGAAGTGACCCACAATTGACCACTGACAAGACACATCACAAGAGCCTTACCTGACATAACCCTCTCATCACGAAGCCCTGATAAGCAGAAGAACATCAACCATGACATTCCCTAAATTCCACGGAAGATGTTATCCAGCCTGTTAACGAAACGTTCGGAAGGCAACCCACAAGCTCGGAGAACAAACCTTCACCCTCATCCTACATCCGAGCTACAGATATTCGTCACTATCGCAAACTCTATACCATTTCAGACAAATGGTTGTCCAGTCTCTTCTTAAAAGCCTCCAGTGATGGAACACCCATAACTTCTGGAGGCAAGTTGTTCCGCTGATTAATTGTTCTGTTAGGAATTAGTGCGTCGCCTGGAGTTTACTCATGGTTTTCTGGACAAATCAGCAGGTCTCAGGAAAGATGCTAAGCTGTGAAGAATGGATGAATACAATAAATAAAATAAAGGTTAAAATAGACTCACCTTGCCCTTTCCAGTTGTACTTTTCTGGTCTCCTGAGCGGTTGTGAGAACTCAGTATGTGCGACTCACATGGAACAGAGGACACGTGTGACTTTGCAAGTTCAGGGAGGTGTGTTAAAAGCCAGACCACACATTTCAATAGGGAAGGACACATTTTTTTGACTAGTATTAGAATAGTTTATTTGTTTAGGTCAGTGTTTCTCAATCTTGGCCACTTTTAGACATGTGGACTTCAACCCCCAGATTTAATATGATCAGGGGGAGGATAACCAGAGAATAATCATACAGTATTAACTGTTTTGAAGGTTAACTAAATGTAACTGTAAATCAGATTACGACCACAACTGAGCCCAAGATTTATGTTGCTAAGTAAAATATTTCTTAAGTGAGTTTGCCCCATTCTACGACTCCTTGCCACAGTTGTTAGTGAATCACTGTATTTGTTAAGTTAGTAACATGGTTGTTAAGTGAATCTTAACAGTTTGTGGGGGCAATAAGCTGACTTTGTATAAAACATACAAAAGAATGAAGGCTATTGCTTAACACACTGTAAGCCGCCCTGAGTCTCCGGAGAAGGGCGGCATATAAATCAAATTAAAAAAAAAAAAAAAAAAATCTGGATTCCCCATTGATTTTACTTGTCAGAAGTTTGCAAAAGTTTGCAAAAATTAGGTTGAGATAAAATGAAAGATACTGGATCCCTTATCTCGAACATACAATTAAAATTATTTCCATATTTTAATTGTTGTTGCTCTTGTTTATTGCTATTAGTACTACAATCTAATAAAACCACTTTTAGAAGAGGCCTGGAGACTAAACCATATGAAGAATGGCTGCAGGTTTTGGATTTGGCTAGTCTAAAGAAAAGAAGAATTAGGGGTGACAGGATAGCAGTATTTTAGTATTTGAGAGGCTGCCACAAAGAAGAGGGGGTCAAATTATTTTCCAAAGCACTACAAGTGCTTTGAACAAGACAAGAAATAATGGTTGGAAACTATGGTAATAAAAGAGAGAAGCAACCGAATTAAGGAGAAATTTCCTAACAGTTGGGATAATTAACCAGTGGAGCAGCTTGCCTTCAGACATTGTGCTCCATCATTGGAGGTTTTTAAGAAGAGACTAGATAGCTACTTACCTGAAATGATATAGCTTCTGCTTGAGCAGGGGGCTGGACTAGAAGACCTCCAAGGTCCCTTCCAGCTCTACTATTCTAAGAGTATTTTGCAGGTACTTTCTAGAGAGAAATGTTTTACAGCCTTGGTAATTTTGAGATGCGTGGACTCCCAGTTACTCCTAGCTGAGGAATTTCTGGGACTTGAAGTTTACACCTCTAAAATTTGTCAAGTTTAATAAGCACTGAATTTGACATAAAGCTGCTTTAAAGGTGAGAGCTAGCTGAAAAGTTGGTAAGCGTCTCTGAAAGAACATATCTCCATAAAATAATGTTCTCAATCTAGACAACCAGATGTGGAACTACAACTCCCAGAATTCTCAGCGAGATCCCACCAGCGAGAGTTGCCCAAGTTGGGAAACATTGAGATAATGAAAATAATTAAATCTACAGAGCTGGCTTTCCTAGAGAGGCCCCGCATATCAGGAAACAGGCGCTGAAATTTGTATGGATGGGTCTGTCCGGGGGTTTATTCTATGCTTTTGCACTGCGATGGCGGAAGGGGGTTTCTGGGGTGAGGGAAATTTTGGTGTGCAAGTGAGTGTTAGGGTAGTGCAATGATACAGTTTCAGGGTGAAGGATAATTAATGCATCATATAAAAAGGCCCGGAGTGGAATAATAATAAGATTGTAATAGTTTGCAATCTTGCATCTGGAAAAGATAAAAGAAACCCCCTCCACACGCTTATCCTGATCCGTGAAACACTTGTGGCTTCATGGCATGACTTGATTTCCATGTCTTTGGTTTTTGATACAAATAAAATTATCTATTAAGCAATCTTTTAAATTCTGCCTGTGTGTCGCCTTGTGTTAAGCAGGACTGGAAAGGGTCAATTTTGATCTGAATTCTCCTGGGAAAAGATAGCTGTAAAGATTTGTTTTTAAATATTTTTGGAATAATATTTTGAAGGCATCTGCCCTGATCTCTCTGTCACTTCTGAGGCATCTAATTTTAAAGGTGTTTATAGCCCTCTTTTAATTCATTTAGACATTGCTCTCTCTTTGCAGTAGCAAAATGGTAAAAATTCACCATCACCCCTCAAAATTATTTGGATGGGAAAAAGGGAGGGATAGTGAGCGTGGGATGTTTTAATTTCAGGAAGATGCAAAAACCCAAATCAAATTGATGGATGATCTCAGGATTTGTATTGCTGATGTTGTACAATTTCCTCCATATGGGAAAAAAAAAATCAAGAGTCATAAACAGAAACATACAACAGTTTACCCAACTGATTATAATTCTTAGCAAAAAAGGTTGGAAGTGTGGGACTGAGGACCAGGGCTAGGTTTTGGTGGAGAGGTAGAGAATTCATTCCTCAACTCAAGTAAAATGTGTTTTACAGCACATTTCCTCCGTATTCCCCTTTCTGACATTCTGCTGTAACATCGACACTCTGTTCCTACCGAAGAGGTAAATTGGTAAAGGTCTTCCTTCAGAATTAAATGATTGGTCTGAAAAACAAGAACGAAAAAAAAAAAAGAGAGATAATTGGTAGAAAAATGGCACTTCGGAGAGAAGGTCGCTTCTGGAGTTTCCCAATATCAATTTATATTGTTTATAATTTATACCGTTGCTCATGTGGCAAAATGCTTCTCAGTAAATCACCAAATCAGCACTTGACATGCCTTTTAACCCTGCTGCTTAGCCACAGAGTCCTCGGGTCCAGTTTCTGTCAGTAAGAGTGACTATCTATAATGGCCTTTGTGGCTCCTGATCCATAGATTCAGTCTACAGCACAACTTGGCAATACGCAACCTGAGGTCTGTGGAGATTCTCAATCATCCTGGTCATGGTTGTCCCAAAAGTGCTTTTCAAAAAGGCAACTGGACTTTCTTGTTTTTGTTTTTTTCCTTGAAACCGTTTCAAGGAAACGGTCATCCAAGAAGCGTCTGAAGAACTGAACTGAAGAAGCTTCTGGGATGAGAAGCGAAACTTTTTCAAAGAAAAACCAAGAAAGTCTAGTTGCCTTTTGGAAAAAAAGCACCTTTGGGATGATCCAACCTGAGGGTAAAACCACCGGATGTCATCCTTAGAACACCCACATTACATTACACTTGAAAAATGATTTGGAACTTTGTTATTATATATGTTGACAGCAACAAGATTATTTATTGTATGCACAAAAATAGAAGGACACTTCGATTCCTACCATGGATGAATGGTTGCAGAAGTTGATGGAGTTGGCTGAAATGACAAAATTGACTATTTTGATTAAAGAAAAGAACCTAAGTACTTTTGTTTCCACATGGAGACTGCTTCTATCTTTGTGCTTGAGGTGGAAAAGAACGAAACTTTGATTTTGGGTTTTACTGAGTAGATGGATAGATCTTTATAGAAATGGCTTGCTCATCTTAATATGAAAAAACAAAAAGTTGTGATTTGATGTTAATGCCTTATTTTACTGCAGCAGAGAGAGTTGGAAGTCAATGCTTCTTTTTCTTCCCCCCCGTATCCTTCCTCACTTCTCTTCCCCCTCCTCCCCCCCACCATTTTCCGATTTACTTTTGTATTCTGTATCTTATTATATTTTATAATTCAATAAAAATGTTAACAAAAAAAAAACAAACTTGAAAAATTGCCTATGGTTCACGTGAGCACCAACATTGGTGAGAGTTTTGCATTCCTGTATGAGATGTTGCAAAATTTCAGACAAGGATATAGTGTTCTGAGAGATCACCAGTCTGACAGACTTATCAATCTTGGGGAACTGCTGGCATGATTTCAAACTAATTTTCCCCCCTATGGCACTGAAAAGAGCACCAATGTCTATGCCTATACGGTGATTTCTATCAGACTTAAGCCCGGTTTAGACTCCTGCGTCACTATCCATCAGGGAACGTATGCGTCTGCGGTTCAGAGATGGTTGCACAGCTGTTGCATCTATAATTCTGCAAATGTTAATTAACACTCTAGCTAGGGAGCAAATGTGCCTTGCCTTCTGCTTGCCTCCCAACAGGAAGTTGGATCAACCAATCAGCATGCAAGACAGGCCATCTCCACCAACAGATAGCTGAGATTTGGGAGCTGTATGGATTGACCCATCTGCAACCTATGCTTACCCACTAATCCCTTAGCAGCATAGGTATCCACCAATGCCTACGTTCAGTTGCAGGCAAGTCTAAATCAAGCTTTAAGTGTTTCCAACTGCCAGTAGAGCTTCCAGGGGCAACTTAAGCCAGGTTGATGAAAGCAGCATTTTGTTGGAAGAAGCATTTTGTTCCCCCTTTTCAACTGGTATCAAGGCACCACTACATACCCAAAAAGGGCAGAGTCTGCCACACAAAAGAATAACAGAGTTGGAAGGGATCTTGCAGGTCTTCTCATCCAACCACTCCTGCTCAAGCAGGAGACTCGATACCATTTCAGACAATCTCTTCTTAAAAGCCTCCAGTGATGGAGCACCTACAACTTCTGAAGGCAAACTGTTTCACTCGTTGATTGTTCTTACTATCAGGAAATTTCTCCTTAGTTCTAGGTTGCTTCTCTCCTTGATTACTTTCCATCTGTTGCTTCTTGTCCTACCCTCAGGTGCTTTGGAGAATAGCTTGACTCACTCTTCTTTGTGGCAGCCCCTGAGATATTGGAACACCGTTATCATATCACCCCTAGTCCTTCTCTACATTAAATTAGACATGTCCAATTCCTGAAACCATTTTGAACTTTGGTGTTGCAGAAGACCCCGGAGATTACCATGGACAGGGAAGAAACCATATTAATGGATCATCAAACGAATCAGCCCAGGCTTTTCACTCAAGGCACAAAGGATTGGGCCTTCCTGCAACCGTCCTTGATGTTTTACCCTCCTTTCCCCTAATTATCTTTGTTGTTCTTCTCTGCACTCTCTCTAGAGTCTCAACATCTTTCAACATCAAATCACACTACTGTCACTTTTGTCATTTCAACAGTGGGAAAATCCTGTGGAGCCCCATAGAGTTCTGAATGATCTTGGCTTGACCCGCCTCTCAACCCAACAGACCTACCTCACAGGGTTGTGATGAACAGTGTGGGCACGTAAACTGCTGCAGGGGGATGCAAACCCGCTGTGGCCAGCCCTTCCGGCATGTCCTTCTGCCCATGGATTCTCTGGTGGCTAACAAGGTGAGTCCTCCGACTAAATCTCTTCTCGCAGTCGGGACAACCATACGGTCTTTCCCCCGTGTGGACCCTCTGATGGCTGATCAGGTTGGTGCTTCGGTTAAATTTCTTCCCGCAGTCCCCGCATTCGTAGGGTTTCTCCCCCGTGTGGATTTTCTGGTGCATTGTCAAGCCCGACCGACGGGAAAAGTTCTCGCCGCAATCGGAGCAGGTATACAGCTCCCCGGTCGTATGGATTCTCCGGTGCCGGAGAAGGTGCTTGTTCCGGCTGAAGCTTTCACCACACTCGGAACACTTGAACATTTTCTCGCCCATGTGGTTCTTCTGGTGCCGGATGTACGTGGACCGATCGCAGAAGCTTTTGCTGCACAGCAAGCACACGTAGGGCTTTTCACCCGTGTGGCTCCTCTTGTGAGTGACGAGATGGTGGCTTTGGTTGAAACTCTTCCCGCACTCCGTGCACTTGTAGGGTTTGTCGCCAGTGTGGAGGCGTTCGTGGCGCACCAGGCTGTATTTGTCGCAGAACTGCTTGCTGCAGGAGGCGCAGTGGTAGGGCTTCTCCCCCGTGTGCATGCGCTGATGGGAAACCAAGCTGGAACTACGGCTGAAGGTCTTCCCGCAATCCGAGCACTGGAAGGGTTTCACCCCGGCGTGGATTTTGCTGTGGTTGTTGAGGTGCGAGCTGCGGCGGAAGTGTTTCCCACACTCCGAGCATTCGTAGGGTTTCTCCTGGCCGTGGACTCGGATGTGCACGATATAGCCGGCCCTGGAAAGAAAGGCCTTCCCGCAATCGGAGCATTCAAACAGCTCCTTGCCGGTGTGGGCCTGGAGATGCTTGTTGAGGCTATGGAAGAGTTTGTCACTCGGTTGCTTCCCTTTGGGGATCGGCTGCCTGAGGATGGTTGCGTAGCGGTCTCTCCTCTGCAATGCAACAGGATCGGTCTCCGGCTCTTCTGGCTGTTCTTCGGTTGGCTTGTTCGGATTCGAGGCAGATTTTTTTAAGTCCTGGCCATTTTCTCTCCCTGCCATCATCTCCCGGTGGTCTCTTTGCTCTTCGTCAGCTGCCAAATACAATAATACCCCCGCCGATTAGTACCTCTCTCTTTAGGGTTCAGGCAGGGCAAGCAATTCCTTGGGCTGCTCAAAAATGCCAAGGAATAAGGGTCTTCAAGGGAGGGGGATTGGAAATTTTGCAGAAGAACCCATTTTTTGCTGGGGGAAGAAAAGGGGGAATCTCAGAAGGAGGCCAGTGAAGATAGAGGTAGTCCTCGATTTATGACCAATCCCTTAATGACCATTTGAAGTTACAATGGACATCCCAAAAGTTACGACCCAATTCCAAAGTTCCAATGGCTGCCCCTTTCCCCAGCAATCATGTGATCACATTTTGGGCACTCGGCAACTGGTGTTTACTTCCAGTTTTTGACAAAAATGCCCTAGAGTGAACAGTGAGCTCACTTAACGACTACTAGAAAAGAGGTCATAAAAATGAGTCCAACCAGATGTAGCCACTTTATGACTATTGTGACTTATGACCTTAATGAGTAGGGTCTATTACGGCCATACGCTGAGGATTACCTCTCTTGCCAATGGTCACCTTACTACCAAGCAGGGTGAAATATGGATAGGTGGAGCGGAATGGCTCAGATTAGCAGCACCTCATGCCACAACATTTTATTACATTAAGATAGACACATAGTGAAATATATGTTTTGTCCATTTAAATGTATCCATCTAGCAATAGCAATAGCACTTAAGACTTATAGAAGTCTAAGCTGCTGGAGAATTCTGGGAATTGAAGTCCACAAGTCTTAAAGCTGCCAAGTTTGAGGACCCCTGCACTAGTTGCAGTATGGAGGCTGATGCTGCAATGGCCGCCCCCTAGTGCTGAAATTCCGCAATGAACAAAATGGAGGGCATAAAGCTTACATGGCTGAGAGCAAAGACAGCTGGGAGTTGTAGTTCGCCAACAAAGGAACCCTTACCTGTCGTGCTGGCATTCCCATCCTCCTCTTGCTTGACCTCCCTGCTCAG